AGTGGCTACAGGTGAGATGGCGCACACCTGCAGTCCCCGAGACTCAGGAGGCTGAGGCAGGAGGAGTCCTTGAGTCCAGGAGTTGGAGATTAACCTGAGCCCAGTAGCGAGACCTCATCTCAGGGGGAAAAAAGACAAAAAAAGGAGCAATTTTTCTTTAACCAAAAACTCCTTAGACAAAGTAAGGAGATAAAGACCGGGAGGAAAATAAGGAAACATAAATGACTGTAAAAAACAAACATTTCAAGGACTTCTGGTTTGTTTTCTTTTTTTCCCAGAGTCTCTATCTCTCTCTTGAAGTAATCTTTTGCTCCCTATATTTAAACTTGGACCATTTGACCCAGCTATCCCACTCCTCTGTCTATACCCAAAGAACTTAAAATCAGCCTACTCCAGGGACACAGCCACACCAATGTTTATAGCAGCTGAATTCACAATCGCTAAACTGTGGAACCAACCTAGATGCCCTTCAATAGATGAGTGGATAAAGAGACTGAGGTATATATACACAATGGAACATTACTTAGCATTAAAAGAGAATAAAATTATGGCATTTGAAGGTAAATGGATGGAGTTGGAGAATATCATGCTAAGAGAAACGAAGTAAGCTAATCCCAAAAAACTAAAGGTTGAATTTTTTTTTTTAAAGAGAGAGAGAATTTTTTTTAAATATTTATTTTTTTTAGTTTTCGGTGGACACAACATCTTTGTTTGTATGTGGTGCTGAGGATCGAACCCGGGCCACACGCATGCCAGGCGAGCGCGCTACCGCTTGAGCCACATCCTCAGCACAAGGTCAAATGTTTTATCTGATTAATGGATGCTGATCTATGATGGATGGGGGGGGGGCATGAGAAGAATGGACCATCTTTGAATTGGGCAAAGGGGAGGGTGGGGAGGGGCTCTGGGGTAGGAAAGATGGTGGAATGAGATGGAAATCATTGCCCTAGATACATGTATGATTGCATAAATGGTACATCGCTACACTGTGTACAACCAGAGAATTGAAATGTTGCGCTCCATTTGTGTATATGAATTGAAATGCATTCTGCTGTCGTGTACAACTAAGTAGAACAAATAAAAATAATAATAGGGGCTGTGGCTGTGGCTCAGCGATAGTGCACTTGCCTGGCAGGGGTGAGGCACTGGGTTCGATTCTCAGCACCACATATAGATAAATAAAATGAAGGTCTATCAACAACTAAAAAAATATTTTAAAATAATAACAATAAAACTGCAAAGGGTTAATACTTATATATGCAAACCAGCAGAAGAAAGGCCAGGCACCCCAAAGGAAAAAAAAAAGGCAAAGATGTGAGCTGGCAACTCACAGAGGAGGCAACCTCAATGGTAAGTGCCTGAAACCTGCCTTAAGTCTCCAGTCCTCAGATACCCCCATCAAAATAAAGCACCACTTTCTTCCTCCTTTTTTTTTTTTTTTTTTAAAAAAGGGAAAGAAGCCACTCCTACAATCCCAGTGACTCAGGAGGCTGAGTGAGGCATGAAGATCCCAAGTCTGAGGCCAGTCTCCTGAGCAAGCTATGCATCAACGTAGAGCAAACACATTTGTGTCTTTCCACATGTAGGGTTTATTTGTTTGTTTGTTTGTTTGTTTGGGCGTGCTGGGGATTGAACCCAGGGGCACTTGGCTACTGAGCCCATCCCCAGCCCTATTTTGTATTCTGTTTAGAGAAAGGGTCTCCCTGAGTTGCTTAGTGCCTTGCTTTCGCTGAGGCTGGCTTTGAACTCTTGATCCTCCTGTCTCAGCCTCCCCAGCCACTAGGATTACAGGCGTGCACCACTGCGCCCGGCCAGAATTCATTGAATATAATAAATTCACAAGTGACACCACTTTCAGTGGTGGCAGTTCACTGCGTCCCTGCAGGCCATCTAATAGTCAAAAACCAGACCATCACTGATTCTTTGATCCCACTCTTAAGTTTTAATATCTATAACACTCAAGTCTCTTAGGGTTCTAGGCTGCTCTGCCAAGAGCACAGGCAGAGGGTAAAGAGTCCCTGTAGGTGGTCAGATAAGGGTTGGGGTTTTTTAAAAATATTTTTTATACCTTTATTTTGTTTACTTCTTTTTAATGCAGTGCTGGGGATCGAACCCAGTGCCTCACGTGCTAGGCAAGCAGCTGTGCCACTGAGCCACAACCCCAGCCCCAGATAAGGGTTTTAACTAACCAGCTCACAGAGTTGTCCAGGCAGAGATCAGCTGCGCGGGGGCCCTGCCTGTCTTCACAGGCAAGAGGAACCACCCTGAGCCGAAGGAAGCCCCAGAGAAACAGAGGTTCATCACGGAGGCGATCTGCCTGGGCGAGGCTCATGACAAGGGACCAGGTGATGGGGTCAGGGTGTGTTTCAGTCAGCTTTTTCATTGCTGTGACCAAAAGACCTGACAAGAGCAATTAGAGGAGGAAAAGTTTATTTGGGGGCTCACGGTTTCAGAGGTCTCAGTCCACCGACGACCAGCTCCATTCCTCAGGAGATGAGGCAGACACCATGCGGAAGTGTGTGGCAGAGGAAGGCACTGGGGACCTGGCACCAGGAAGGAGAGAGAGAGAGAGAGAGAGAGAGAGAGTAGCGCTGTCCTCACTACAACAAAAGAGAAGTCCCAAGGGCACACCCCCAGGAACCCGCCTCCTGCAGCCACACCCCGCCTGCCTAGTCACCACCCAGTTAATCCCGGTCAGGGAATGAAGGCACTGATTAGGTCACCTCACCTCTAAACTGTCTCGCATTGTCTCACACATGAGCTTTGGGGGTACCTCATAGCTAATAACATAACAGGCTGCTGCCGTGTCCATTCTTGGGGGGCTTCTTCTTTTGTGGGTCAGAGGTGATGGGGTCACATCTGATGAGGTTGATGAGTTCCTGTGTCCAGTGTTCCTGGTGTGATTTGGCGTGGGCACAGGTCCAGGTGCTCCTGATTCTGTCTGATAAATTGGCACCAATAAGTTATTTATCAATTTGTGTTTTTATGATTGTGCCGGGCAGATGATGGTTCTTTACTTGTACAAATATGTTGTAGAGTCATTCTACCTTGGCACTTGGACTCAAAGTGGAGCAACATATTGTAAACTACTGCTTTACAAAGTGGAGTGACTTTGGTTTAGGCACAGCCTGTTATATCAAGGAGTTACTCAAGGCGTAACTCCCGGGATGGGGCTGTCGCTCAGTGGCGAGCACTTGACCTAGCATGTGTGAGGCACTGGGTTCGAGCCTTGGCACCACATAAAATAAATAAATAAAATAAAGGCATTCTGTCCATCTACAACTTCAAAAAAAAGAAAAAAAGGAGTAACTCCAGCAGGGCACAGCCTATTGTCCACACCTCTGCAAGTTAGCAAGACCCTGTCTCAAAATAAAAAGTACAAAGTAGCTCAGTGGGTCCAGTTTCCAGCACACGCGCGCGCGCGCACACACACACACAGGAAGAGAGAGAGGAGAGGGAAACAAAAGAAAGAACAGAGGGAGAGAAGGAAGGAGGAAGAAGGAAGGAACCAATAAGGCACCATTTGCAACTCAGGAGACTGGCTAACCCAGGAAGCTGGATGACAACAGGTGATAAGAGAAAACTAGAAGCACCCAGGTGTGTGTGTGTATCAACACCATGGCTACTCAGGAGAGCATCTGCCAGCTTCAAGAAATCACAAGGGCATGTACCCTGTGACCTGGAGTCCTGCCCGAGGAGAGCTCTCCCACATCTAAAGAGGCAGAAAGAAGATGTTCATGTCAGCGGTGTGTGTAATGGGGACCTCAGGCCAACCTGAGTGTGATCACCACAGGGGCGAGGAGGATAATAAAAGCCCCAGAAGTTCAATGTGCTGTAACCTGCAAGCCACTAGGAACAACAAACGAGATGCACATGGAAAACGTTACCGGTGAGTGGAAAGATGTGAAGATTAAGTGGCAGAATTAGCTTGATAGCTGACACCATGTCTGTCAATTGCAAGCACATTCACGTAGGAGATTCGCCATGTGCCATTCAGGCCAGGCAGGATTGGCTGTGGTCTGATGGAAGGGAGGTAAGAGGGAAGATGAGAAGCCACGAAGGGGAAATGAATTAATGGAATTCAATACGTGATGCAAAGCTCACTAAAGACTGCACAGTTGAGGACAGTCTCTGAGAGGTGACGACTGAGCAAGGATGAAGATAACAAAAGCTGTGAGAGGAGCAAGGTTAAGTGCCGCCAGGCACAGGGAGCAGCATGTGCAAGCCTCTGAGGTGGGCATGAGCTTGGCCTGCGCAGTGTGGCTGAGCGGGATGTGGAAAGGGCAGAGGGGGACTTGGGGAGGGTGGAAGAGGTGGACAGGCACAGAGGCATTCAGAACTTTGTGTGCCCTAATCAAGCGTTCAGATTTTATTCAATTACAATAAGAGGAGAGATTGACTAGCATACTTTTTAAAGTTTCTTTCTGATTCTTTTGGTTTTGGTTTGGATTCAGGATTGACCCCATGGCCTGCATAGGCTCTTCCACTGAGCTACATGCCCAGACCATAATATAAATAAATAAATAAATAAATAAATAAATAAATAAATTTTATTTAAGAATAACATACAGAGAGAAAAAGATACATTTTTAAAGATGGCTTTGGTTGTTGCATGGAGACTGGACTGGAGGACAGTAAAAGAAAAACTCAGCCTCAGTTTCCACATCGGCAAAATAGCAAGAACACTCCTTCCACTCAGGGCCGTGGTGAACAAGGTGGGAAAACAGCTCCCAGGCTCCTTGGCACTGGAGGAACCAGATGGGATGCAAAAGGCCGCCTGTGGGCCCAGGGCAGCTGGGGCATGCAAGGCCCTCCCAGCCAGTGTCAGGCCCCAGGATCGCGCCCGGCTGTCACTCGCCGAGGCGGCCTCTGGGCGGCGCTGCGGGCCTGCTCGGCTCCGGGCAGGAAGCGGCCCCTCCCTCAGTGCACTCGGCGCTCCATAGGTCCTGCCTGTTCAGGGCGGGGCGAGGCGGAGCGAGGCGGGGCGGGGCCTATGTGGGGCGGGGGCGGGGCCGCGGCGACGCGGGGTTGACAGGCGCAGATGGCGGCGGCGCAGGGCTCCTGAGCCGGAGGCGGCCATGAGCGCCGCCCGGCCCCAGTTCAGCATCGATGACGCCTTCGAGCTGTCCCTGGAGGACGCGGGTCCCGGGCCCGAGTCCAGCGGGGTCGCCCGCTTCGGGCCGCTGCACTTCGAGCGCCGGGCCCGGTTCGAGGTTGCCGACGAGGACAAGCAGTCCCGGCTGCGCTACCAGGTGAACGGCCCGGCCCACCTCACCCCTGCTCCGGGCCAGTCGGGACCCCCGGCCGAGCCCTGGAGAGACGCAGCTCCGGCGAGACCTAGAGGCCCCAGCCGGAGCGGAGGCCGCTCCCGGACGTGACGCCTGATCCAGACCCCGGTCCAGAGCCTCTCCACTCCGATTTAGGTCCCCAGCCCGCTGGAGAGCCCGCAGCCACGGTGGAGAACCGCACGGAGTCCCCACCCATCCTGGGGACCGACCCTTCTCCCCCGCGGGGTTTAGGGAACCTTCTGTATCAACGAAACCTTGCCCTTATGCGGAGCGTCAGCCTGAGCCCTAGGCGGGATGATCTGAAAGGAACCTGCACCCCTTTAGAGCTTGAGGCCCCACCCACATGAGGAGTTGTCTTTGCCCACCCCTTGTCTCCCACTGAACTGGAAGTCCTCATTTTCCGAAACCTCCAACAGCCCTTGGATCCTTTACCTGAACCAGATTCCTGTGCCCCAAACCCGGGAACTCTAGGCCTCTCTTTCCCTCTTTCCCTCCATGATGGGCCCCTGAAATAGCATCCTGAGAGCTCTACCCTGTCTCCCAAACTTGGGAGATCCCCTGCCCCTGGGACTTCTGCCGACTCCTGTTCCCCAAAGCCCCCAGCATCCACCCACTTCTACTTGGGTTTCGGTTTCTGTGAATCATCAAACCCGTTCTACTGGGAGGGTGGAGGGCCAGAGAGCAGCTGCTAGGCGGCCACGCAGCCAGGCCAACAGCTGTGTGGGCTGCCTTCTCTCCAAGAGAGAAGTGAGGAAGGGCCTGAGCCCAGCAACCCCCCTGAACCCTGTGTTCTGGAACAGAACCTGGAGAATGATGAGGATGGAGCCCAGGCCTCGCCAGAACCGGATGGGGGAGTCAGCACCAGGTCAGGGCCAGGTGGGGACCCACCCCATTCCCCAAGCTCCCATGCATCTGGCTCCTGTCCACAGGGACCTACCCAGCCCCCCACTCCACTACACACAGCTCTGCTGTGTTCAGTCTTATGAAAAATTCCTAGCCCCATTCCCCTTGTGGGGTTCCCTGTCCAGCTGGTCACCCTATAGTTTGCATTCTCACCCATCCAACCCTACCAGGCTCTTTATCTGACAGGTCTGACCCTCACTTTCCCATAGGTCACCTGTCATGACCTCTCATCCCATCTTCCCCTATAGGTAGCCCTGCAGAAACCCCCACCCTTGAATTCCTCCTTGTCCTTATCTCTGCTCAGGATCCTCTTTCCCGTAGTAGAGGCCAGCCCTAGTTCCTGCCATACACACACACACACACACACTCTTCATCAGGACTCCTGTCCCAAAGGATTCCCTGTTTCCCCCTTCCCCCCACCTGCAGGGATTCTGGCCGAACATCTATACGCAGCTCCCAGTGGTCCTTTAGCACCATCAGCAATAGCACCCAGCACACCTACCATTCCTGCTGCAGGTGAGACCCTGCTCACTTGAGCCCAGTCCCCTAGTGCCTGAAGCCCCTAGCCCTGGCTCTCTCCTCCACACCCTTTGCCTCTTTCATACCGGTCCTGCTCTCCTACCGTCCAGCTGGACCAAACATCCTTTGATCCAGAAGAACCTCCGGGTTGTGCTAGCCTCCTTCCTGCTCCTGCTGCTGGGGACAGGTGAGTGCCCTGAGGGTGCCCCTGCCTCCCCTCCCTCCTTCCGTGAAGGCTCTGCTTCCCTTTGGTACACTGGACCTCCCAGCATCCAAGGAGGCAGCTAGCTTCCATCACCCCTCCCCATGTTACAGTGAGGAACTGAGGCCTGTGATGGGCAGGCCCAGGCTCCTGGTAACTCAGCCAGGAAATCACACATAGAGCTGGAAACGGAACCTGTACCAGCTACCATTTATTGGGTCTACTTAAAGGCACATTTACTTTCTACCTTTCAGAGGTCACACAGAAAGAGAGAGCAGGGCCTAGAACTTTGTGTAGGGGAATGTGCTCAGGGATATGGGTGACCCTGTGGCCAGAGATGCTGAGTGTCTGCCACCCTGATCCAGAGCTCTGTCACTCCCCATTCTCTGAAGTCTGAGAACTGATCAGAACTCCTCTCCACCCCCATTGCTCAGATGGGGAAACTGAGGCCCAGAGCAGGCGGATCTCACCGACAAATGTCTCTGAATCTCAGGCTTCTCATTATACGGGGCTGAGGAGGCAGGGTTCCCAGAAAGGATCCAGCATTCCTTATGGCCATAAGGGGTCCATAAGGAAGGTGACAGTCACTGTGGCTCCTCCTCCCTCCCTTTTCCAGGAAGGTCAAAGCCCCCACCAGCCAGGCCCCCTGGCCAGAAAGCCTGGCCCAGCTCCAGGTGTTTGAGTGCAGAGGAGGGAGCTGCTACTTTCCATCACCACTGCACACTGGGCACTAATGGCACTGGCCACTGGCGCGCGCTCCACAACCTAGCAAAGCAAGCATCATTGCCATCCCAGCTTTGGAAATAAGGACACAGGTCAGGCAGGTGAAGGGCCTTGCCCAGGTTGCAAGTTGATGAGCTGGGATTTAAGCCCACATCTGTGACTGCCAGGCCTGGAGGCCACCAGCAACCCACAGAGGGCCCTTGAAGAAATTAGAAAAACAGGGCGGAGCCTGCAGCAGCTCTAGGCCAGGGTGCAGGGAGAGAGAGGGGACCACTTTTTGAGGCTTTCTGTGCATACACAAAGCAGGCAACAGTCCATGGTGGCCCTCTAAGTGGGAACTGAGGACTGTGGGTCTGAAAAGTAGACCTAGGCATGATCTCTCCACCTTCCCCCAAACGCACTGCCTTCCACCAAAGTCCGTATCCCTACCTGGTGCTATAGGCCCTACCATCCCTCCTCCTGCGCTCTTCCTGTCCAGTCTTGCCAAACACCAGAAGCTCTTAGAAAGCCTAGTTCCCTCCAAATTTGAGCCTTTGCTGTGCTATTCCCCTGTCTGAATTCTCTCTCTGCCTGAATGGCGCCCACAGCAAAGCCTCTAGAGTTAGCCAGCCTCCACCTTCCAACTGCTTCCCCTCTCTGCCTCAGTTTCATCTTGTAACTGTCTCATTTGGTCAAGGTGACAGTTAAATAAGGCAGTGCATGTAACACATTTAGCCCAGTGGCTGGCAGAGCCTGGTAAGTGATCTTTAAGTATTAACTGTGATTGCTATTGCTGTTGCCACCCCTGCTCAGCTTAGATGTCACTGCCTGGGGAACCCTCTCCCTGGTCCCCTGGCTGGCTCCAGCAGGACTCCTCTGGATTCCCACACTGCCCTGTTCTTCCCCACCATATCCCTGGGTTATAGCTTTCAGGTTCTCCTTGGACCCTTCACTAAGGAAGGGCCATGAGGGCAGAGACCTCATTTGCCTTTTGCCTGGGAATTCCCAGTACCATGCATGCAGGAGGTGTCCCCTAAGTATTAGCAGAATGACAGGTCACACCAAACTCATTTCACAGACATTCCCCAGGGCCTGCCAGGTGCCCTGCTCTGAAGATAGAACTTGGTGAACTTCCTGGGGAGGGTCTCCACCCAGGGGCATCTGCTCAGGCGGGGGACACCATTCCTCGGCCTGAGCCTGGTTGCGGGGTGGGGGTGGAAGTCTCGCCCTCACCCCGCGGCCATCTGTGTGCAGCGCTGATCCTGGTCGGCGTGGGACTGGAGGCGGCCCCCTCGCCAGGTGAGCGCCCCTTCCCACCCGAAGGCAGCAGCCTTGGCCTTGCGCCCGAGGGTCCTTGGTGGGCCCTTTTCG